ATAATATTAGAGGGTTGTTAAGGTGTTGTGTTGTGGTACTGGGGATCCAACCCAGGGGAGCTTGAGCTACATCCACAGCCTTTTTTATTTGGAGCAACTGCTTGCTAAGTTGTCCAGGCTGGCTCAAACTCATGATCCTCCTGCCTTAGCCTCCCACGTTGTTACTATATGTATGCATCACTACACCAGGCTTACAGTGTTTGTGAAGCCAGACCTTCTTCAGCAACATGACCCGGAAAGGTTTTGTTCCCATCCCAAAAGAGAACCGTTCTGAGCATGAATTCCATCTGGGACATTCTCTCCACAGGACAAAACCCCAAAGTTATTCTCATCACTCAGTGACTTGGCAGAAAAGAAGCAACTGGGAGAGAAAGTGTTCAGATTACGAAGAAAGCTCTGTGCTGCAAAATTGGGCAAATAAAGGGAGAAATCTTTCCTAGGATAAAAATTCGTCCTGGGAATGCATTCTGCAGAGGTTATTAGAGGAAGCAAAAACTCTGTAGGAATATAATTGCAGAACTCTCACAGTATGCCAAGATGAAAATTTTCCTTCGATGTATATATAATTAGGCACTTTTAGGATTTCTCTGAGTGCAGTCCTCCACAGAATAAGAATTATTGTGGATACAGAGGAGGTGGAAACTTGCTAGCCAGAGAAAAACAGAAACCCAGGTCAGAGTGGAATCAAGTCTCTTCTCATTGCTCAGTGCAGCCCAGGCTTCTATATTTGGGTTGGAAATGAACAAATAATTCATGCTGGAAATGCAGGGTGACATTTACAGCTCATCACAGACCACCCTGAAGGAAGACAATCTGAATTACAGTTTTCCCACTTTGCAGTGGTATGAAGTGCACCCCGATGACTATTTCATTTTCACTTTCATTCAGTACATACTGATGTCAATGCTTTACCGTAAGCTTGGCTTTGTGTTGGATGTGTTTTCCAACTGTAGGCTGGTGTAAATGTCCTGAGCACGTTTCTGGCAGATCAGGCTCACCTGTGCTGTTTGGTGAGTGAGGAGTATTAAGTGCATTTTCATATTTTCACCTTTCAGTGGGTTTATGGGAGTGTGACCCCCACATAAACCAAGGAGCATTGATAGAAGAGTGTTTTGGCTAACAGGAAAGCCTGCAACTGATTTTCATTCCAGAGTGTGGATTAAATCATTCCTGACTCCTGGACTGGGTTTTGAGGCTCAGGGATTAGGTGGTAGTAGATGAGAAAATGCCTTTGGGGGCTCTGCTTTTGCATTCAGCCAGTACCCGGTCTCTATAGGGACAGATTAGGTATTAGCAGTGGCTCCCATCGCTCTGGAGTGTGCACTCCTCACCCTGAGCCTGATCCGGCTTCTGCTTTGAGCTTTTCTACCTCCGGCCTGTCCAAAGCTCCCAGCCAACCCTAGCCTCCTGCCATCTCCATCTGGGACAGATGTGCCTGTCCAGTCTGCCTGTCTGTCCTGCCTGTCCTCTAACACTCATCACACCACACACCTAAGTGCCTGTTCGATGGATGTCATTAGCCTGAGTTGGTCCTGATTCCTTTGGAAGCCCTGGAGTTCAGGCACTGATTCATATATTCTATTGCCTAAAACAGTGACTTTTCAACAATCACTAGTAATAAAAGCTAACACTTAAGCCAACTATGAATCAAACACCGTGTCAAACATACAACATTCCTTATTCCCTGTAAGGTAAGATTTCGATGATCCCTATTTTAGCAGTGAGGAAACCAAGTCTCCAAGAGTTGATTCGCTCATTTCACCAAGGTCATACAGTGATCCGGGAGTTGGCGTTCCTGTCTCCCTGTGTATGAAGCAGTTTCTCCTGCAATCTCTGCCCAGGCATGGTTGGGGGTAAGGGAGGAGGTTCGGGTGATCTCATCTGGCCGCAGGACCTTTCCGAGGATGGAGCAAAGTCTTCCAAGTGCTCCCCGTGTGCCCACAAGATGTGGGTTTTGCAACTGGCTGGGGGTGGAAGGGCTGTGATGCTGAAAATGAATCACCAGCATCCAAGCCTGGATTTTCAAGCAGCTGGTACAGATGAGTAAACAACATACGCCCTTCCCCACCTTACATGTGCTGCCTCGTCTCCACGGAGGACACCTTTCCCCCCAGATAACTGTCTGCACTTATGCAGATATTTTATTTTTCCAGCTGCAGCAAGAACAGCCTGGATGCTTCAGATTCTTTGGGCTTTAGATGATGGGTTATGTCAACAGCACCATCCTCTAAGGATATTAAAGAGCATTCATGGGTCTTTTTCAGAGGTTCCTCCTTTTAACATGTGGTGGGTTAACATGCGATCCAAATTAGTACCTTTGAAATTACAATTGTAAAAGAACAATAGTACTAAATATTAAATGATCATTATTAAGAACTTACATTTATTCAGGGCTTTCTATTGGCTTTCTGTCAAAACACTAAGCTTTTAATAAGCACTGTCTCATTTAAACACCACAATAGCTCCAATAAACTACGTATTTATTGACTGTGCAGCCTCGAGCAGGGCAGTGAGTGAATCCATGCACAACCAGCTCTGCTATCAGAAGAAATTCCAGCTATACTGTGAGTAGCTCAGCTAGGCTGGCCCATTTCCTGGCAGGCCCAAGTTGGTTTACCACATTTGCCCTAATAGAATTATTAACAATGCCCTCTCCCCAAACCTCTTATTTTGGACAAACAGCATTGTCAATTTCCTCATAAGGTACATCTGTAGCAAATAAAGGGCAGGAGGTCATATTTGCTGGCTTCTTGCCTCTGTACCATAGCCATCACTTACACACTTGGGTTATGTTCACTGTCCCTCACTGAAGATTGCTTTACATTTCAATCTTTGCTTCTTGAAACGCTCCCCTTTTGACCTTGCTCTTTCATGGTTTCAGATACTCAGCTGTGACGTGAGGTGTGAAGATTTAGACTCTGAAGCCCTGTGACAAGAGTCCTGTGTCCTGACTCCAGTACCCGCCTATGGGCAGATTACTTCCCTTCTCTCTAAGGCACAGCATCCTCACACTCAGAGAAGAAGAGTAAGCTGGTCTCATCAGTTTATGATAATACAGTTGCTTAGAGGATGCAGCTGCCTGTTGTTGGTCATATTAGTATCCCTTTGAGGGAACGACAAACAAACTGGTTTCCTTCCTGGTATCCCCGTTGTCCCTGCTAGGTACAAATACACCCCAGGAAGCAGGAAGAAGGACCCTTGGATAATGATGATGTTGTTAAAGGGGGCGGAAGACTGAGCTTCTATAGGAGTCAGGATAAGTCTATTAGTGTGCATGACAACCCTCCCGAAACTTGTCAGACTGCTGTGATTCCATTCTAATTTTGTGATTTGGATGTTTCTTCACTTCTCAGTGTGTGCTGTTAAATCTCGACACTGGAGTCTCCTTCTAGCTCTTCTTCTGTGCTTTATCTCCCTGCCCCACTTTCCCAGAACAGTGTCCCCAGCACTGGACCCATCTCTACAATTGTTACGTGCCTTGTTTCACAGGGAGCTGCTCTCTGCAGGTTATCACCTTGGTGATGTGGACACTGCTCAGTATGGGGGCCAGATTTTAGTTTTGTCTTCCTAGTGCCTACCATTCCCTCTTCTCTTGCTGAGGGAACCTGAAGTTCTCTTTGCTGACCAATACCTGCCTCTCTTAGTGTGTGGTGTGGGTGGGGCTGATCTTCCTCCAGCCCAAAGCCCAAAACAGAAGTCTCATGTCAGGCACAGTGCCTGGCTCACAGATGACCATGATCCCAGAGCTCACTCTGAGCCAAACAGAGCAGTGCTGAGGTCTGTGCTGACATGAGGGAAAGACTCTTCTACATCTGAGGTAAAGGCCTCAGGGCAAAGTCAGCTCAAAGCAAAGGAGAGCTGCAGGGAAGGAAGGATTTCTGTGGACACTGTTTTGGTTCCTGGTCCAGCTTTGAAGCCAGGCTGCTATGCTTGCTAAGCAGTTAAATCTTATTTTATGCTCATGCCTTTTGAGTTAAGCTTCTGTCACTTGCAACCACAAGTGTCCCGGTTAAGCCCTTGCACGAGACTGAGCTTCAGCCCAGAGAGGTGAATTTGCATGATACATTTCCGGTTTTGGTGTCAAACTGAGGAGGCCAGAATATTGAAATGGGATTAGGAACTAGAGAATCAACTCCACCTACCCATGACTTTCTCATCTGCCTGCACCAAGCCTGGCCCTGCTCAAAGGACTGGCTGGCCCCACTGGCCCTAAGTAGCTCTTGATGGTCCCAGGCCTAAAGACACAACCAGCACTGTGTGACCCCTCCATGGGACCTGGTTGCTCACAGTGCCCACCCAGCATGAGTAGCCCTGCATTTAGAACCTGGGGCAGCCCTCAGTGAGGTGCAGTGAGGTGGCAGCTCGTCCTGTAAGAGCCACCTCTCATCCTGCCTCTATCTACAGAGCTTCTAGTTTGGATCTCAGGCATGGGGGAAAATATGTTATTTTTCTGATAAGGTTGTTCTATAGTTATAGAAGAATAAGTTCTGGGGATCTAAAGCACAGTGACTATAGTTAACAATGCTGTATTGGTTATTTGGAATAAATTTTAAATGTTTTCACCACACACACACACACAATCATGTGTGGGATGGATATGTTATAACTTGGTTGCTAGTTATTTTATAATATACATATTTATTAAATTACTATACTGTATATCTTAAATGTATATAACTTTACTTGTCAATTTTAACTCAATAGCACAAAATGGGAAAAAGAAATAGATGTATCATCCATAACATATGATTAAATAGGCGCCATTTGCATACTGCAAGGGGATGGAGAACCAAAGGCCGCATTGAGATTTTTGCATTTTAACATGAGACCCAGCTTCATGGGAAGCAGCACCCTGCACCAGCTAGGCTGGCGCTGGAGTTGGGACAGCCGCATCCTAGCCTCCCAGCGAGTCTGAGCCATTCCCAGACTGCTTAGGGGGAGAGATCCAGGCCTCACCAGGATGCGATCCAGGCTGGGAAACCATATCATTTCATTGTTTTGTTGGGTTGGGTTTTATTCTCTTTTTTTTTTGTTTGTTTGATTATGTTAAATCTGATGGCAGGAGCAGCTGTTTGAAAAGATAACAAGACATAGTATGGTAGCCATTTTGGGTTTATCTGTGGCTTGCTTAGAAGTCCTTTATTGCATTCACTGTTTCGGCTTTATTGTTTCTATTCTATTCTATTCCATTCAAATTTTTACTATGTTTGAATGTATCTGCAGCTATTTTGAAGGCAACAAAAGGCATTACAGTAACTGTTGTTGGTTTTGTAAGATTTTGAAGTCCTGTATCACTTATACTGGTTTATTTTTTATTGGTTTTATTCTGTTTTATCCTCTTTACAATAAAAAATATGGTTAAATAAAAGTTTGCAGAGAAGTGTTAGCAGAATAATTACATCCTTGTAAATATATATCTGTATTTATGTCTTTATATAAGCAGACAACGGCTGGGGATAATCATATCAATGAAAAAATAGAAAGATTTTCTTCCAGTAGGTAGGGGGTAGGTGACAGGGAACATGTGGCCCAGAGCAGCAAAGATGAAGTCACATACCAGGAGAGCCTTTGTTTGTGTTCTTTTTTTTTTTTTCCTTCTTTTTAAATAACAGCCACTGTCCTTTGCTTTCCTTTGAAAAATGATCATTTTGGAAGTCCGTATTTCGTATCCCCACTGGTCTCCCAGTAGGCAGACTGAGGGAAGAAATGTGAGAAACAGAGTCAAATCTCTGAGGACTGAAGGAATCCCTTCAATGCACATCACTTACATTTATTCATGGCTCACCCAGGGGGTCAGGCTCATCTGTGGGATTGTTTGAAATGGAGCTCCAGAAACAAGGTTCAGACCTTGATTTGCATAGAATTTATTTTTTAATTTCTTTTTTTAAAATCAGCTCATGTTTGTTGTACATCACAAATACATTCATTGTGTGGGGTTGTTACGCATACAAGATGCATCTTAATTATCTTAGTGTTGCTAGGATATTTAAAGGCAATGCTGCCAGGAGAAATGGTGGAGTGAAGAAGGCTGGTAGGATACCATCCTAGGTATACTCCCAGCCTTGCTGGTCATCCTATGGTGTGGTAGTCAGAGGTTGTGCAGAGACCTATTAAAATCAGGACATGAAGTTTGTAATATTATTTATGATGGTCACCCAGAGTTTACACAAGAAAGTGCAGGAAATCTATCGACAACACTAAAGACAGACTATTTAGCCAAGGGCCTGAATCCCACAGCAATGTCCCACATGAATCCAGAGGAAGACCCAGAGCTCGTGACAGTGCCTCCTATGAGTCCAACTGGAGGTCTAGAGCCCACAAGAAGGAATCATACCAGTCTCTTTTATGGATCTGTGCTGGGAAGGCCCAAAGGTCAGCAGTGGAAGCTAGACAGTCTATGGCAGCAGACTGGCATAGTCTATGCTTACAGCTCCTATGAAAAAAAACCAGCAGGTACAGGCAAAGAAAGAGACCCAAGGACCGATGGAACAGAATATAAGATGCAGAAAAAACTCCAACCACAGTCACCTACTGTATCTTTCATAAAGGTGCCGAACACCCTCACGGGAAGAACGATAGCTTTTTAATAAATGGTGCAGTGAAAACTGGCTTTCCACATGCCAAAGATTGAAGCTAGACCTGTATCTCTCACCATGCACTAAATTAAACCTGAAATGATCAAAGATCCAAATATAAGAACAGAAATAGTTAATGTTCTGGGAGACAGAATAAGTAGAACTCTTGAAGACCTTGGTGTAGGCAAAGATTTTGTAAACAAAACCCCATTTGCACAGGAAACACTACAAAAATTAACAACTGGGTTCACACCAAATGTAAAAGCTTTTGCACAGCAAAAGAAACCACCAACAAAATTAAGAGACAACCCACTAAGTGAGAAAAAAATTAGCAGCTGTTCCTCAGACAAAGGACTAATACCTAGAATATTAGTCTAGAACTCAAAAATATCAGATTCCCCTGAATTTAAAATCCAAAACCAAAAGTGGATATCTGAAATGAATAGATACTTCTCAGATGAAGATGTATAAACTGCAAAAAACCCAAAAACATATGAAAAATGTTCAACATCATTGGTCATTTGAGAAACACAAATTAAAACAACACTGAGATTCCATCTCAATCCAGAAAGAATGGCTATCATCAAGGAGTCAACCAATAACTAATGCTGGTTTGGCTGTGAGGAAAAAAAAGAACTCTTTTCTATTGCTGATGAGAGTATAAACTGGTATAACCAATCAGTATGAAGATTCCTCAAAAAGCCAAAACAAGATGTTCCATTATGACCCAAGAGTGCCCCTTCTAGAAATCTTCTTGAAAGAGTTAAAAGCAAATTATCACTGAGATATTTACATACTGATATTTACAGTAGCACAACTTATAATAACTAAATCTTAGAGACTGCTCATATGCCTACTGACAGATGAATGTACAAAGAAAATGTGGTATTATACACAATGAAGTACTACTCTACCATAAATAAGGATAGACTTGAGTTGTTTTTAGGCAAAAGGGTGCACTTCAAGAGCATAATTTTAAATGAAATAAAAGACACAAGTTTTAATATCACATTGTTTCTCTTGTGTGAGAAACCCAAAGAATAAAGAGGAGCAAAAAGGAGACTAGATATTGGGACATGGGAAGAACATGTCCAGATGGAAAGGGGGACAAGGGAAGGGGAAGGGAAGAAAATGCAAAGATTAAAAAGGAAGAGAATGGGAGGGGAAAGTGAGACAACACTGCTGTAAATGGGGAGGGGAAGAAGGGAGGGGACTTGAAAATAAAGAATTAAGACATATTATAGACAGCTACAGATTATAATGAGTGCAGTCATTGTGGATGGCAAATGTGTACTAATAAAATTTTTTAAAAATCAAAACAAAAATGTTAGCCTTTTTAAAATCAAATTAATTTAAAAAAAAAAAAAGCAGGAGGGGGATTTGGGGAGGATTAACTGGCCCAGGAAGGCAGCTTTTCTTCTTTCAGGGCTACGACCATCACCTTCACCTACCATTTTATACCCCCTACTCCCTGCCACACACGCAGCTCAACTCTTTCAAAAAAGAGCTTTCAGCAGCTTCCCTGGCCAATGGGCCAAGGAGAGTTTTCCTCCTGAGAACTGTGTTTGGAGACTGAGGCACCAATTCCACCTGGCTTTGGCATGGGCCTGGATGTGTGTGAAAGTGGGCTTGCCACTGTTAGGCATTCAGGCTTGGACATGGTCCAGGGAGCACAGAAACCAAGCAGCAGAGAGAGAGAAAGAGAGAGGTGGAGAGGAGGAATGGGGAGGGATGGGGACAGAAGGGGCAGGGCAGGGCAGGGCAAGGCGAGGTAAGGCGAATGGGAGAGATGAGGAGCAGAGGAAGAGCTTGTTATGAAATGCTGGCCGGATGCTGGGCAGTTTTCACAGGGGTGGGCCCTCAGGATGATCTTCACCACAGTGACACTCAGCTCCAGAGTGGCTGAGCAAATCATTCAAGGTCACACAGTATTATGGTTTATAACTAGATGTCCCCCTAAAGCTCATGAGCCCATAGGCAAGACTTTTGGGAGGTTGTTGGATTATGGAGGCGCCATAGCTGATTCCTGTTAAGAGATGTGGCCTGTTAAAAGAGCTGGTCCTTGTGGGCTCCAGTCAGGAAGGTTATCTCTGCCCTTCCTGCTCCTCCTTTACTCTGCTTCCTGGCTGCCATGAGGTGAGCAGCTTTCCTCCTCCAGGCCCTTCCACCATGACTTTCTGCCTTGGAACCGACCAATGGTGGACTGAAACCTCCACAAACTGTGAGCCAAAATAAAACTTTTCTCTTTTAAGTTGTAGTGTCACATGTGCTGCCCACAAGGCCAGAGGAAAACAGAATTCTTGGGGCCCAGACTAGACTGCAGCTGCTGAGAATGAGCGAAGCCCTGGCAGTTAGACAGGTCACTGGCTGGTGGTTCTTGGTGGCCTTCCTCTTTTCTTAGATCTCCACCTAAAACACTTGCAGTGTAATCTTACCATAAATGCTCTCTTCTGCTCTTGTTTTTTGAATGGTGTTGTGTTTTCAGTATTAGTTTCCACTCATTCATTGCTGGCACAGAAGGAAGCAACTGACCCTCGTGCGTCAACCTTGTGTTCTGCATCTCTGCCACAGTCACTTATTAGTTTTAGTTTTTCTGTCAGCTTTTTCAGATTTTCTGTGTAAGTCATCATGTTGTCTGTGAATAAAGCAAAACTTTATTTTTCCTTCTTAAACTGAAAAGAAGAAAAATATCTTTTTTCTTCTTCCCATTTTAAAAAAAGTAAGTTTCTAGTGGGTTTCAGTGGTTGTAACTGAAAGACTCTTAGTGAGGACCTCTGCTATTGATGACATAAACTGGGATTTGCTGTCAGTTCTTCTCACTTCTGAAAGTTCCCATTCCCACTGCCATGCTCCAGGTTAAGCTCAGGGATTTTGACCAAGTAAGACTCAAGGGTCAGAGTAGGTACCACTTGGGCAGCTTAACAGCAGCAGCTGGAGGCCTGGGACATCTGTGTTCAGCCTTGTCCTTTGGGTCTGTGAAAAGCAAAAGTGCAAAACCCCAGAATGTCTTTAGGAGAGAAGAGACTTTTCAGATACAGAAGGTACCATGCAGACTCCAGATCATCAGAGAAAGTGTGTTTCCTGTTGTATATAGATACAGTCAGAGGAGTCTCATTTCTCTCTACAGCTGTAGACAAGCCAGCCACAGAGTTCTCTGAGACCCTGAAGGACAGATAGGGTGGAAAAGAAAATAACATAAGGCTGACACCTTCATTGAGGGTTCAAGTGAGAAGGTTCCATTTCCTTTAATAGTGATGTTCTCTGGCCAGTTGAACAAACATAGTTTCCTATTACAAACACACAGTACACCTTTACAGAGGATTAAACAAAGTTTATCTTAGAAGTTTTAAATATAAAAGGGCAACTGTAATCATGCTTATAAGAAATAGCATGCATAAAGATTTAAATTTGAGTAAGTTTGTCATTCTGTCTACACTGTTTGTAATATTCCTAAAATGTAATATACACATATTGCAATAGATAGATACACTGTATATAGTGAATACGTAATACACTCTAAAATGTAAATATTTTCAATTTTGCTTTTTTTATCTTTGCTGAGCAAGGAAGTTTCAAAAGAACATTTACATTCTTCAAGAATTTATGTCAACAAGTATTTGATCCTTAGTATCAAAGATGATCATGGCTTGTATGTCTATATAAACTAAGATTGAAGAGTTGTGTCAAAAGTTTCTGAGTCTAAATCTCATAAAATCAGCACCTTAAGAGAAAATACTTTAAAACAACAGTATTATTATAAATCAAAAAAAGTTGATTTTTATCAAAAGTCTTAGATGGCAAATAACCATAGATGGCAAAATTCTGGCACAAATGCCAACACCTCTTGGTACCGCACTCCCAGCACTCTCCTCCCTGGCCTGCGTGAGGGCCACGTGGCACTCCAGGGAGCCATGATTCAGCTGTGGTAAGAGGATCCTAGTCACAAACTGGAGCAGTCTATGCTTTTGTTATAAATTTCAGCCTCCTCTGGTTAATTTCTAGAAAAGCAGAGTTACATGTAAGAGTTACTAACTGCTCCTAAGATATGATTTGGGAACAATTTGAGTGTGACTCTCATTTAAATTCAGGCATTGAAATTTGATCCTTATTGTGAAGTATTAAGAGAGTGAAAACTTCATTTGACTATGGTTGTTATGGTTTGTGTCTAGATGTTCCCCCAAAGCCTCATGTTGTCACAGGGAGGACTTTTTCAGAGGCAGTTGAATCTGGAATGTGTGATGCTGGGATTAAGGATATGTGATTAGTAAATCAGCCCACTGATTGGTGGATAGAGTATAAAAGCCTAAATAGAGTATAAAAAGGGGCAGAAAGAAGCTGCTGAGGTCTCTTGCTTATTTTGCTATCTTCTAATTGCCATGAAGTGTTTCTCCTCTCCAATGCCCCTCTGCCATGCCACCCTGCCTGGGAGCCAGCTGATTATGAACTGAAACCTCTAAAAACTATGAGCCAAATAAACCTGTTCCCCTTTAACTTTGAGTCTTGAGTATTTTGTCTCAGCAATGAGAGAAAAGTAAGTATAATACAATGGTGGTTGGAGTTGGGAACTTTGGGAAATGGATAAGAGTGTCAGGAATGAACCCTCAAGATTGAAAGTGTTAGCTTTATAGGATGAAGGAGAAAGCCAAAGACACACACAGACACACCCCATCCTTTGTGACACCCTTTGCTGCCTCGGAACTCTGCCAGCAAGGTCATTATCAGGTGCAGATTCTGAACCTTGGGCCAGAGCCATGAGCCCAAATAAACCCTTTTGGTCCTTTATAAAATCACTCAGTTTCAGGTGTTTTATTATAATAACAAAAACCGATTAATACCAGCATGGCCTAGATCTACACTGTCCCCCCAAAGCTTCATGTGTTCAGAGGCAGGGCTTGTGGAAGATGATTTCATGGTGGGGTGTTATCCGATCAGTGGGTGCATCCACTAAGGAGTTCACTAGCTGCTGTGATGTTAGGAAGTGAGACCTGATTAGAGAAATATCAGTAGGGGGATGACTTGGAAGGATATCTGCTACCCCACAGCTCCTTCCCTCACTCTCTGCTTTCTGGCCACGATGACGTGAGCAGGGTTCCTACTCCCAGGATCTTCCACTAAGCTGTTTCTGCCTTGGAGACAGCCTACTAGGCACTGAACCAGGGTGTGATTTCAGGTATCCTGTCTCAGTGACAAGCAGTGACTAATATAAGCACATCATATAATCCTTGGAGGGGCTAGAAGCACCCCACCTACCCTGAACCTCTCAAAAACTACCTGCTAATGGAGTTGTTGTCGCTAAACCCTAGTAGAACCACACCAGTGCCTTGATTGGGAGCCGCTGCATCCACATACTCTCCTCGTCCTGCTTATAGTGGCCACAGTGCTTAAGGACAAGGCTGACGACTTCATCCTTGTAAGACCCAACATCACTGTGCCTGCTGTCAGAGAGTCAAACCTGTGAGGTGGTCTAGCTGCATGATATGCTGTCTGCAGATATGCTGTCCTCAGGACACCCTGGAGGAGAGAAGAGCTCTGCCTCTCCAGCTCCATCCAGGAGATGTGTGGCATCAGTGTAGGAAAATGTTATGGGAAAAGTCGAGAGACCTGTGAGCTACAAAGGTTAGAATCTGGGGCAGGGTTCCGTCCTAAGAGCAGGGAGAAACCTGGGACGATTGCATATTCAAGAAAGTGACCAGCAATCCCAATTTGCTTGGGAGAGGGGTTCTCCAGAAGTCAGGCTTTTGGCACTAAACCAGGACCATCGTTAGCAAACCAGGATGAACTGGTCATCCTGACTCGACACTAACTATTCTGAGCACCAAACAAAACTAGTCTCACCAATCATACTTTATAATTTGGTTTCCCAGGTATGCAGGGAAAAATACCTTAAAAACATTTAGTACAAAGTCTGGCACAGAGTAGGTACTCAATAAATACTTTTATTTTTGTATTTTAAAAGTTTACTTCATTTTTAAATATTTTGATCCTGTTATAGTTTGTGTTTACATGACCCCCCAAGCCTCATGCATTCATGGAGGCAGCTGAATCTAGCATTTGTGAATGTTCATTGTCTAGCACTGGGATTGGTGGTGTGAGTGCTGCACCCATCCAGGGATGGAGCCAGCATACTATATAAGGAAGGGAAGAAGGTGGGCTTTTCTCTCTTTTGCCCTGTTTGCTTGTGTTGTTTGTAGCCACCATGAATGGCTGCCCCGCCATGCCACCCTGCCTTGCAGCTAGCTGAGTATGGACTGAAACCTCCAAGAATTGTAGTAAAAAAACCTTTCCATCCCTAATTTTTGATCAGGTATTTTGTCTCAACGAGAGAGAAAAGTAACTGAGACAGATCCTAATGTCTCATTTTCCTTGGCAGCTTCTCATCGTGTTTCCTTTCTGTGAGGATTTGGCTTGGTGTTTGGGGTTCCTAGAGGAGAGCTCCTATGGGGCCCTGTGTCTCAGTCACACTCTGGCCTCTGCCTCTCGGTGGGAGCACAGAATGCCATTGGCTTCCTCTCTGAGGCTCTCAGTAGCAGCTGCTGCCCTCCTACACCTCAATGGGCTGTGAAGCACAACAAGGTAGCACAGCATGTGGGGTGCAAATCAGTGCCTTCAGCATCTTCACTCAGAAGGCTGTAGGGAAGAGGAAGGCAGGAAAACTATGGAGTCCTGAAGAGAAAGAGGCAGAACCTTGAGGGGAGAGGGAGCCCATGGCTGCTAGGACAAGCTTTCCCTTATCTGTAGTAGATGTTTGAAATTTAAAAATGTATTACAGTAAAACACACATTGCCATTAATTCCCCTCAGAATACTCCATCTAGTTTCAAGCTCAGGTCTCCAGCTCGGTGTGTTCCCTGCCTACTATGCTTTTAAAAACTGACTTGGATTAAGCGGTAAAAAAAGAATTGTGTGAGTTTCTTGGATTGTTGTTTCTAGGCCAGGAGTCATCCTCATCAGATAAGCTGTCCTTTTGGGAACTGGCTGCAGGAAACCTTTCAGAATCTCTGGTTTCATAGCACAGTTCTAAAAGATAGTCTTTGTTATGCTGTTTGCTCACACATGAGATGTAATGTTAAACACATTTTATAACCGAGAAGCCTGATTTGCAATGGCTTGTGAACGCGCAACAACCCCAGCTATGAATCAGAATGACAATGTTACCTCGGGAATGAGCTTGTTTTGCGGCTGCCACCAAGACGTTTTCTCTGCTTCCTCCACCGTGAAACACAGGTTTGGGACAGTGACATCTGAGCTCTCTGGCTCTAAGGTTCTGGGACATCCTAACACCATGGTTTACATAGAAAGAGGAGCTGCCTTTGAACCATGGAGTTTTCCACACCTTGTCCTCTGCCAAGGTTTAGGTAGGGTGGGATCCAAGTCAAATTGGCTTAATGATCAAAGAAAATTTAAATCATTTTTTTGCAATACTGAAAATTGAACCAAGAACCTTCACACTGAGCTACCTGCCCTGCCCTTTTAAAAATGTTTTTGTTTTTAAATTTTGAGACAGGGTCTGCCTAAGTGGCTGAGGCTGAACTTGAACTTTCAGTCCTCCTCCTCAGTCTCCCAGAATGGTGGGTTTGCAGGTGTGCGCCCCCATAGCCAGCTGAGAAACCGAATCTTTTAAAACTGAGTATAAGAAGAAAACATTTCTTTTCTATATCTTGGTACGTTTCCAGAAGAAGCCCATCATAAAGATCAAACTGATCACTGGTTTAAAGCTCTCTCTTGTCTAACACGAAACTTTTCCCTTGAGTCAGCAGAGAACACTTCCTTACCCTTGTGTCTCCCGCAACACACAAAGCTACCTCTGCTCTAACTGATGTCATTCAGCCACTATTTGCATAATAAATTATTCCAAGACTGAAAAACACATGGACCCTTAATCTCAGAAGAAAGTTAAGCTCTTCAGTGATATCTCCCAGTGCCTGTAAATTTGGAGGCCTCTGGGGACAGACACTGGGCGACCACATTAACAAGCCCCCACTCACTGTTCTCATGGCTGTTCCTACATCCATTTCTCTGGGTGTCTTTATCTGTGTTTCTAACTTCTGCATCTCTCTCAATGTATGGACACTCTCTTGTCCTTGGTATGCTTGTCATTCAGTCTCATGCCCTGGATCGCTCCTTTTAACTGACCCTTCCAATAAGTCAACCTCCAATTGGTATCTTCATTCAATTTCCTCTTCTCCACCCTCAAGAAACAGCTTGTAAGCAAGGTTGAGGAATCTGGATTTTATCCTGAAAATAACTTCTGCTCCTGAAGGGTTTTAAGTAGTGGCAGTTTGTGGTCAGGTCTACATTTTCAAAAGGTGACTCTGGCTGCAAATACAAAGTCAGATTAGGGGAGAGGTCATGAGGATGCCATTTAGGAGGCTGTAAAGTTAGCTCCATGACAGGTGATGGTGGTACAAGACCACAGAGACAGTGAAGGGACAAAAGGGAGAGGTGACCAGGCTCACCTCAAATTTGGGGTCAGAGGGTTGGGGAGTGGGGAAGCCTGGTGTCTTAGTTACTTTCCTATTGCTGGGACACATTATCTGACACCCAAAAGATATAAGAAGAAAGGTTTACTTAAGCTCACAGTTTGTAGAGGTTTCAGTTCACAGTTGGCTGTCTCCAAGCCTGGGCAGCATGGCAGAGCAGAAACAGCCCGTGGCAGGGGCCAGAAAGTAGCAGTAGCGAGTAGCAGCTTGCCTTTCTTCTGTTGCTTTATATTCCATCCAAGCTACAAGCCACCCATCCCCAGATGGAGCTTCATTATCCACACCCACAACTATGCTAAATCCATTTAGGTACTGCACGTTTTCAGTCCATCCACCTCTAAAAAGCCCACCCATGAGTGCATGAGGCTTTGGGGAAACATCTGGATAGAAGCCATGACACCTAGGCTTCTGGGTTGAGCAACTGGCCCAAAGGTGAAGTTGTCCACCGAAACCACTTTGGGAGAAAGAGAAAAAAAGGAAGGAGGAACCATGAGATGACCTGATTCAGAAAGAGAAAGAGAAGTCTAGAGCAGGCACTGATCTCTCTCGGTTTCTAACCGCTTCTTTCATAGCCCACTCAGAATTGTCCATCTCTACTCCACAAAGACCATCTCCCAAAAATGTTCCAGGCCTCAAACTCCCAGGAACTCTTATCTGAGCATCAGCGGAAAGAACACTGTGTTGAAGTTCGGGCATGAGGGCAGTCAAACTTGGTCCTGTTTCTCTAGCCTGCTGAGGCAACTGCATTGTGTCTCCTATCCTCTGAGAATTTATTTAATTTGCTATAAAACATTTGGACATGATGTGGTAATAGATAATTCTCTAATAGTTATTCAATGTTCTTAATCTTATTATCTGGTAATTGTCTTTGTTGAAGCTGTATGGAACATATTTTTAAAATAAAGTTCTGCTGCCTAAATTGAGGAGCAGGGTAGTACGTATGGGTATGCTGCCATGTTACTTAGCTAATTTGAGGAGTTAGTATAGGCTGTGGTTAAATTTAGGAGCTTAAGAGTCAAATTAGCTGAGTTCCAGTCACATCTCAGCCCCTTACTAAGTGTATGACCACAGGAAATTATGGAGCTTTGCTGTACCTCAGTTTTTCCATCTGCAAAATGGACACGGGAATTTAAATGACAGTTATAGGAGTAAACACATGTAATGTACTGTGTTAACTAGGTATCATTCATAGGTGGGTGGGTGGGCAATGGAAAGGTTCCCAGAGTTTTAAGCAACTTTTTAATCTCACCTTATGCCATGCTATTGGACATCTAAACTTGCCAAATTCAGTTCAAGAAACATTTATTGAGAATATTTTGTATCATATTCTTTTAAAATATCTACTTATGTAAAGCTTTCAATACATACTGCCTCTTCATAAAATCTTAGGTAACTGTCTAGATACTCAGGGCTTAGCAGCACACACCTATAATCCTAGCACTCAGAAGGTTGAGACAGGAAGATCACCTCAAGTTGAAGGCCAGCCTGGGCTACATAATGAGTTCAAGGACACCCTTGAAAGGTGTAGACAGCCAAAGAGCCAGGCATGCACCAGACTCCCAATCCTCTGATTCTGCAAAGAATAAACAGAGCCTGTGTGTTCTTTTTCTATTGGTGACATGAGAGAACTAAATCAGGTGTGGTTGTTGTTCCCTTCCTCACACTTGGTAAGCTTTTATTTTACCACAGCGCCACACTTCCCATGGGGTTTTCTCTAAAAGCCCTGCAAGGCTGCCTGGGCGGCAGCTCCTGTTCCTCAGAGCCTCTGAAGCGCTGTTTCGCTCCAGGATGGCCACAAAGGCAAGCAGCCGTGTGGGCGCTCTTTCTCCAGGGCCTCACACCCAGCTTCCCCTCATTGAAAAGAAGTTGGAGGGAAGAATCACATTATTATGCCCTTCAACTATTTGTTCTTAGCCGATCCTGTGTGTTTTTATCATGAAATTCTACAGTTTAAGAACACATAATAGCAACAGAAGCCCAAAGAAGAGTACACACTGATTTCTACAGTTAACACAAATGCAGATTCTCCTCAAGAGAATCCACCTGCAAAGACACTTCACTCTGGTTATAGTGATAAACCAGAAGATTAAAGCACAGCAGTTCAAAAAAGGTTCTTGCGGGAAAGATCAATGAGCTTCTCCTTCTGCACCCTCCCCAGGCCTCCCACAAGCATGATGAGGAAACTGGCAAGATTGACATGGAAATTCACAGGATAGGGCTCTGCTTCAGAACTGCCTGTCCTCGCTGGCCCTCCACTACCACCCGGGTGGCCTGCAGCTCTCCCTCATCTGCTGCAAACCGTGCACATGAGGAACGTAGTTGGCTCGTGCGAAGAAAACTTTGGAAAATATGTAGCTCAGTGAGAGGAAAGAAGGTCGGATATGGATTGGGAAAAACCAATCTTGATTTTGGTGTCATATTCTTCACATCCAAGTTCATCACAGACCTATACTTTCAGGAGCTGGAGAGTGACCGGTGGCAGAGGCCTGGCCACAGCTCCCTGACTGTGTCCACATGGCTCCCTGGTATTGAGCTGCAGCTGCTTGATTTGATTTTTGTTCAATGCCAGAGACAGCAGGGCGGCACTGCAGTGAACAGTGGTAGAAATCAAGGGCAGAGGTGATGTTGGGGCCCCAGCTATCCCCAAGCCTTTCATGTGTAGCAGCATTTGGCATTCCTGGGACTTGTCTACTGGTAACAGTGAAGGGACCTCCCTGGTTACCATACCTAGGTTCTGTCCTCATCTTGATCTTTACTCATCTTCCCTGTGATGGAAAATGAAGCTTGGGAAGCAGGCACATCACAAAGGGGCATGTTCCATCCAGGGGCCAGGAACAACTGTCCAGCACTGTCATGCAGTTGGTGTAATGTGCAGAGTGATAGCCCCTCGGGCCATCAGATTCAACCTCAAATCAAAGCAAAGAACACAGGCTACCTCCAGAAAACCCACTCTGTCAGCATGACAGCTCGAGTTCCTTGATAGCCAGAACCTGCAATAATAAATCCGTATGGCTCTAAACCACTACATTGTTGTAATTTATTACAGAGATGAAAGGAAAGTAATGATGTTACTTGATGTTATATATCCTAGACCGTTTCAATCTGCAAGTGAGAAAACTAAGGCCCAGAGAACTTGTCAGCTTTCATGAACTCACATGATTGGTGATTAACAACTGTTGCCAGGGAGAAATTCCTCTCTGCTAAAGAACAGAGGTAATGTATGTGCAGGACCCACGGCTTGTAAGAATTAATGTAGTTGGTGCACTGGGAAGATAGGAGCAAAAGAAAACTGGAGTTGGCTATCACCAAATCATTCACGCATTCAACAATATGTTTTACTTACCTGCTGAGTGCAAGGCACTGTTCTAGGCCCTGGAGACCCAGGAGTTTCTGAATCTGGTGGTCCTCCGGGGTCCCAGTGGTCCTGCTTGAGCTCTTGGTACCCTGGCTGCCCTCCCTTCCTGCCCACAGAGGAGGTGCCCATGGCAGGCGGTGCCTGCACACCTGCCCTCCCCCAGCCATTATGTGGCTCCTCTGACGCCTGCCCAGCTGACACAGGAGCCTGGCGACACCGCCCCAGCACCTTCATGCATAAAACATGGCCCAGGAGGCTGAGGGAGGCTGGCCTAGGCTGCACAGAGGGGCTGCCACCCTCGGGCCCCTGGGGAGTGAAGGGAAGGGAAGGCAAGGCGAATCATAAGATAAAAATCAACGGAAACCTCAGATGTGAAAAAAAAAGAGAGAGAGAAGAGAGTGGGTTTTTTTTTCTTTTTTTCTGTAATTTTTACACTTCCGGGATGGCTGCCAGGCCATGAGGAGGTTTTAGGCCCAGCTCCCTGGGACCATGGTGCTACCTTCGCGGCTGCACTGGATCCGGAACCGGCCATGGAGGAACCGCATCCGCAGGCGCCAGCTGAACCGTGAGTGTCCCCAAGCAGGCGTCGCCACACCTCTTTCCCCCACGAGGCCTTTGTTTTGAGCTCCAGTATCCCCCTTTCTTCCTCTTCCCACCCTCCTACCCCCTCTCCCGCGGCCAGCTCACTCTGCACCCATTCGTCTCCCTGTGTCCTCTGGAGAGGTAACAAGACACGCGCCATCCTGTCCCAAGTGCCAGGCAGGAGGGAGTTCTCGTCTTTGTTCTCCATCTCGATGGAAAACATGGGTACATAATTCCACCTGCCCCGGAATCATGGGAGTTGGCAGCTCTGACATTATGGTGAGGAGAAGCAGAATGTCCAAACGGAGCAGGCATCAGCACTGTGGCTCCCAGAGGGAGAAATTCCAGGGTCAGCGAGGCACACTGTCTTTAAAGGGCCCAGTACTGTTTCTGAAATAATCAAACTCTCGCTGAGGTTCCTCCCAAGCCAACTGGAACTCTGGGCCAAAAGGAGAGCTTAGTGTTGACAGAATCTGAGAATGAAAAGGCATTCCCAATGGATGCCAAGAGCAGGACCTATCATCAAGTAGTAACTTCGTGTGTCTTGCTAGAGAGGTTTACTCCTCTCAGGTGTCAGTGAATTCCAGTGGCTGGAGCGGGTGGTGGCTCAGCGGTGAATGAGAGGGGCCTGTTTCAGGTGGGTACGGAAGGGTTCACTTTCTTCTTATCTCTGTGATAAGAAAGGCTGCAGTGAAGCTGTGTTGATAGGTTGCTGCTGACACTAGGCCTTGGTAAGTGGAGGCGAGAGGGAGTGGTAGAGTGTGGTGAGAGGGGACCACATGTCCTCACTGAGGGGTTGCAGGCTCTCCAAACCAGACACAGATCCAGGTTGCCAGATTTCCCAACTTTTCAAGAAAAACCAGGAAAAATACTACTTTACTGAAAACTAAAAACACTTATGTTTAAGTGTTGGCAGTTAATTCTTTAGATTTTAGATATTGTAGTGGCCAGTGCTCTGATACAAATGGCAATTTGTGAACCACCAACTGCTGAGCCCTGGTGTGTGGCGGAGCTCTTTTTGCTATGATTCACACCGATACTCATCCCTACTTACATGCTGATGAGTGTCTCTGATGCATTAATAAAAAGCCCCTGGGCCAGACAGACAAGTTAAGATGAATGAATGGTTTGAGTCACAATCTATTCCTTTAGGGGACAAGTTAGATTGGTTGGATTCCAAGTGGTGCCTCACATACAAGGCAATATTTTGCACCCAGAGAAATATTTAATTTTTTTTAACTGAGTAAGCTATTAAGAATTTTTTCAGAACTTGCACCTTCTTCATCAGCTGCTCCTTCCCCTGGACCCTACCTTGAACTCAAATTCATTGTTATGATGCTCTGTTCTGTGTCTATAGGAAAATAGTTGGGTTTCCTTGGATTCATGGCCATACCTCTGCTAGGGTAGGGAATATTGCTGGAAAAAGGGTGAGCATGGATATGCATGGCTTTCCAGTATGGGCAGGAAGTCAGCCAACACTCTACAAATAAGAACTTGTGCAGAAAAAGCCGCTTCACTTTAGAAGTGGTACTTAAATTATGAGACTGGAAATGGTGCACTGTATAATAATTTTTGATTTTGAGGGCAGGGGAGTAGTGAAGATTGAACCTTGGGCCTGTAAGCCCAGCCCTGCCATTCATTCATATGTGTATGTGTGTGTGTGTGTGTGTGTTACTAAGTCACTGAAGTGCCCATACTGGGCTTGAGCTTGTATCCTCCTGCCTCAGCCTCAGCCTCCCAGAGTGCTGGGTTCGTAGCTGCATCACCATGCTTGGATTCTGCACAGTTTTAATATGGAATGATGGTTATGGCAGTGGATATTGAATCCAAACTCAACGTCAAGCAGGCTAATCCTAAATCCATCATATAATCTCTCTGTCTGAGGGATTCTGATGTTCTTCCAGGGACCTGGCTGTATCACTGCCCTAGAAATAGGAGCAGGATCAAGTGATATGTTCAGGAGTTGATTTTTGCAGCTCAGGGAAGATCTGTGCATGGTAGAAAAGCAAGAAGGGTTAGAAAGGGAAGGCAGGAGTCAGTTGAAAGCTCCCACTTCAAACACCAGCAGCACCTCAGCCACAGAAACAGCTTCTTTGATAGCTTCTCCAGTTTCCTCTGTCTGAGGTTCTTCTCCCAGGCCAGCATCCCCTTCCAAGCTGGGGACTCGAGCTCTATTACACCTCAGTGTTGTTCTGTCATTAAGGGAAGGAAGTTAGTAAACCCCAGTCTCTTCAACACACAAAGGATCTTGGGTGGCAGTAGGAGGTCACAGGTCATAACATGCAGACTTCACTGATCAACCGCAGCTTGCTCTTTCCTGTCAAGGGGGCAGCCCTAGGCTCCTCATCCCTGGTTATATGGTGCTCAGGTTGCTGTGCCTAACCAATGAATATTGTGTTGTTCACTTTTAAAGCTGTGTCTATGTTCTGTCGCCTCTTAACAAAACACAAGTTTACTGTCTTAAAACAGCATGCATTTGTCACCTCCCAGTTTCCATGAGTCAGGAGTCTGAATTAGCTGTGTCCGCTGCTAACTCACTGGTTTTGTGGTGCGGCGGCCAAGGTGTCACCTGGGCTGCTGTCTCACTTGGGGCTTGGGCTCTTGGCCTCTTCAAGGTCACAAGGGAGTCTCATTGCTTATAATCACTCTTTTAAAGAGCTCATCTGTTGGGTCAAGTCCACCAAAGTGAACTAGTCTGGGGTCCTAATTACATCTGCAAAAATTCCTTCACCTTTGCAGTACTATGTAATCTAACATGGAAGTGAAAGCTTCTAGTGTTTATGCACAAGTCCTCCAGATACCTAAGTGGGCCGGACTATCCAAAGCACACACCAGACATGAATCCTGGACTATGGGCACCTTCTTGGAATTCTGTTTAGCGTAAGCCCATTGTTGCCCTTGCAATAAAATCTGGATTTTTGAATTTCTGAAAATCCTTGTTTTGTTTTATTTTTTGTTATGAAAATTTTTAAATGTAAATAAAGGTAGGGAAAATAGCATAATGAATTCCATATACCTATCACTTAAGCTTAATGATGTTAGCATTTATTCCTGCTGGTCTCATCTCTTTTCTTGATGAAGTATTATTAAATAAACTTTACAGATTTTTATAACACTAAACTCTGAATATTTTGCTAAGAGCATCCAAAAAATGGCATTTTTTCTACATAACTGCCTAAGAAAATTAACAATGTCTTGCTAATATTAAATGCAGTCTATATTCCAGTCTCTTCAGGCAGGAACCCATTCGTAATACACTCCGTGTGGCTGTCACCCTTAGCAAGACACCTAGCATTGAGTGTGCTCAATGAAAGTGTGAGTGCCATCAAAACTATTTCCAGGCAGAGGACATAGCTCAGTGGTAGGGTGCTTGTTTAGCATGCATGAGGCTCCAGGTTCAATCCTCAGCACAACAGAACAGCAAAAACTCATATTCGTACTGACACAATTGCTCCTGAGCTCCATTTCCCTGTTTACCTCACTTGTTCCCGTCACTCTTGGAGTCTGTAAAGAAGTCTTTATTTTCTAGTCCATGGTAGTGTGGTATGGTGGACCCACGTTATGAGAACTAAAACCTATTGTGCTTCTCAGAGACATACGTGTTTTAATTGAGGCCATCAGAGAAAGAGACTGAGTCACTACAAAGACCCAAGGGTGATCCTTGAGGGAGCTCCTTGGGTGCCCTGGAGTCTTCCATGAGCTGCTTACCTGAGACCCACCCTTACAAAGAGGCAGACACAGCCATAGTCAGGGAGCACTTGGGCTTCCTGCAGGACTGCAGTGTCCAGCCAGGACATAGGGGTGCGCGGAGGGCAGAGATGGGTGGGAGCTGTGTGCCCTCTTCTTTCTATAGTCAGCCCCTGAGGGGTGTTTAAAGACAAGCTAGCCTGTGCAGTCTCTAAGCTTTGACAGCAGAGAGTTTGCTTACATTCCACTTCTGCAACTCTGCAGTGGGCCCTTGTCCCACCTCCTTAGTGTTGCTCCTTGAAGCATAAATGGGTATTATAACGGTACCAACCTCGTGGAGCTCCCCACATGTGGCATGTGGCGGTGGTAGTTGTTGGGATCTGAGAACCAAAAATTGGTGACAGATTTGGGGCACATGCTATGCTGGAAAGGGCAGGCTCCCTTCCTCAGCCTCACACCCACCCTGCATCCAGCTGACCCACACAGCTGACCCCGAGGCAGGAGGTCACACAGATGCACTTGTTCCTCTGGGAAATGAAGTGCGGTATTAGCCTCACCCTGAATCCCCATGCAGTTTCCCTTATAAGTAAGTTTAGCCCCCCATGCTCTGTCTCCTATCACAGCTGAACCCCATGTCTGAAGGAGCTTGGGTGGAAGAAGTGACAGGGGCCTCCTTTTTGCCCCCCCCCCTAGAAATAGGTGCAAGTTCTCTGCCCCACTGAAAAAACAACTGTGACATAGCCAAAATACACTTGAGATTAGGGAACTCTGCTGTCCCAAAGACATCACTGGTGACTTTCTTCCTGGTGATCACATGATTGTCTCCTCTTGCTTCTGTGGTCCTTTCTTGCCCTAGCATGGTAGAAATCTTATTAGTGACCAGGGGAAGGGGGCCTGGTCAAGTGGGAGTCTGAGTCCCACTGGCCATCCCCGATGTGGTGGTTGGAGGACAGTGTAACAGCACGGGGACACTTCCATCTGCAGCTGTCCTGGGCTTACCTGTCCACAGGAGGAAGTCAGAACCCACCTGGGTGGTCCTTTTCCAGGTCGTTGGCCCTGATGCACCAGAAGGGACTTGAGTCTCTTCTGAATACCTGGGTATCTCCAGGTGAGAAGCTGGGACTGCGGATTGGTTTCCTGGGGATTCAGGAGACCTGTGTAGAGGGAAACGTGGGCACCTAGGTCTGCGCAGGTCCACCCACTGTGCAGATGGCCCCTGCTCCTGCTCGCTGAGGCTGAGACCCGGCATCAGCTTTCAGAGCGGCTGGCTGGCTATCAGCTTTCACTTCTGCTTCC